GCTGCATCTGACTGCGGCTCAGCGCTAGCCGACGCGGCCGGCAGCACCGCAGGCGAAGACTTGTCTGTCTGTCCGTCTGGGTCGGGTGGGGGGGGGGGCGGCTCTCACAGGGGCCAGGGCTGCTGGAGCATCTCCAGGGCTGGAGTGTGTCTAGGGACCAGCGACGCCCAGTTCCCAGAGAGCCCTTCTCTTCACAACCGCCCTGTGGCCACTCTAAGCAGGGGCGTGGGCTGCTGCTCCTTCGGGCGCCCAGCTGATGGGCACAGCTACGCCTCAGCCCTGTGAGAGGTCGCTGTAGGGTGCCCTGGGGTGGGCAGAGCACATCCTCCCCAGGGCTGCAGGCTCACCCGGCCTGTGAGAATGCAATCCAGCTGGCCACGCCCCCGGCCTCGTCCCCAAGCCTGAACCTCCGCTGGGCAGCCGGGCCCAGCCCTTCATGTGCTTAGCGGGGTTTGGGGATGCTCAGTTCAGGGGTGCGCCAGTCCCATGGAACAGCGCCCACATGCTGCCAGTTTGCACTGTCACATGGGATCCTGCCTGGTTCATCCCAGCCTCGCTGGCTTCTCTCCAGCCACAGGTACAGGGAGGGCAGGTGGGTTTCTCAAGGGGCAGGGGTGAGGCTGCCCCAGGGCACAGAGCCGGGCCCAGGGCCTTGTGGGCCAGGTTTAATTTCCCCTGCAGTGGCTCAGCCTGCCACTGCGTGATGCTGTTGCATCAGCCTCCTTGGTTTCCTTTGATATGGGGCAAAGGCTGGACCTTGCCTTGGGCATCTCCCCAGTGCCCCCCCGGTGTGGGGCAGCCTCATGCCTTGTCCTTAGCAGGGGCTCAGTGGAGTGCAGCAGGGTGAGTCCTGACTGCCGTCTGGTGAGGCAGGGCGCCCAGCGGGCAGCTGGCTGGGTGTGTTCAGACCCCGCTCTGCCAGGCAGGGCCCAAGCCTGGCCCGGAGTGGTGCAGGAACAGCCAGGACAGCCCCTCCCGGGCTCCAGCCTGAACGTGGGACAAGAGGGGCCTGGGCCCTGTGGCTACTGAGCCGGGCCCCGGGCTTGCTGCTGCCCCCGTAGCCCTGCTGGGGGTCAGCTCCCAGTCACCCCAGGGCAGGGCAGGGGGTGGATGGCTGGTGTGCCTGTTGCTTCCTGCACCCTGTTGCGGTGGGGCTGCAGGCGGAGGCGTGGGAACAGCCCCGGGTTGGTGGCTGGGCTGGGGAAAACGCGCTACATCCTGTCAGCCCCGTTGTGCCGGCCCCGCTCCCTGCGGAGTCAGCGCTGACCCCAAGGCCCTAGCATGGTGCTGGGCAGCAGATCACAGGAGGGAGGTCACAGCCCTGCTGTCCTGGCCCAATCCCACCATGGGGCCGCCCCCTTGTGAGTGCTGCAGGGGGCAGCCAGCTGCCATGATCCACCCCAGAGGTGGCTGCTGGCCTGGCCAGTGCCCCCTCCCTCCATCCCCGGCACTTGCTGCAGGGCTGATGGAACGAGCAGCCAGCCAGAGTCGTTTGCACAAGACACCTTATTGCCCTGCTCCTCCCAGGCCAGCTGGGGGCTGCTCCAGCCCTGGGTCCCCCAACCCCTGCTCTTCCCTCTAGTCACACGCATGCACGTACGTACCTACATCTCCGGCCGGCTCCTCCTGTCAGCCCCAGCTCCTTGGGGCACCCGCTGGCCATCTGCCTCGGGGTCTGGGGCTGTGGCATCCTGCCCTGGGATGTGGTTTGACCTAGTCCCAGGTGGCGGCTGGCGCAGAGGGCCTGGGCCTGGCAGGCTCACACCTCTGGTTGGGCTGCGCAGTGCTGGCATTGCAGCGCACGTGGTGACACTTTAGCTGGTGCCTGGGGGACCCACAGCTTGTCTGCCCCTCAGGGTCACACGCTCGCTGGTACCAGCCCCTTGGCTTCCCCCGCCTCCTGGGACCAACCTCGGCCCCTCCAGCAGGGCCGGGAGCTGCCCGCAGCAAGTCCCCCTGGCTTGCACCCCCCAGGGAGCCCCTAATTCCCTGGCGCTGGGTGACTCCATCGGCGGGGTAAGGGCAGGCGGGTTTCTGGACACAGCGTCCTTGGTTAGCAGCAATTCACAGCCTGTCCCTCTGGGTCAGCCTAGAGCCCAGCCAGGAGCGTCCCTGACACCAGCAGCCCCACTGACCCCCTTTGGCCTGTGTTCTTGTTCCCAGGGAACCGCTGTCACCTGGCCTCCTCCTCAGGCCTCTGCTCTCTGGTCGCAAAGGGCTGCCTTCCAGGGAGGGCGGCCCCTGGTCGTTGGTTGGTTGGTAGGTAGGTACCCAGCGTCTGGGCAGTTGTCTTTGGGGACTCTCCATGGCATGGGGCCAGGCCCCGGCTAGGCATTAGTCACACCCGGCTCGCTGCAGCATAAACAATCTCCCCAGCCCTAGTTAACCATGCAGCTCTTAGGGAAACTGAGGCACACACAGTAGTCGTCCCAAAGGAAAAAATCCACACCCCATCACACAGGGTGAGAGTTCATGTTTGAGTGGCTCATTCATTTCAGACAGCAGCTTTAACACAAACAAAAGGAAGTATTCCTTCACACAACGCACAGTGAACTTGTGGAACTCCTTGCCAGAGGAGGTGGTGAAGGCCAAGACTACAACAGGGTTGAAAAAAGAACTAGATAAATTCATGGAGGATTGGGCTATCAATGGCTATTAGCCAGGATGGGTAAGGAATGGTGTCCCTAGCCTCTGTTTGTCAGAGGATGGATGGAGATGGATGGCAGGAGAGAGATCACTTGATCATTATCTGTTAGGTTCATTCCCTCTGGGGCACCTGGCATTGGCCACTGTCGGCAGACAAGAGGCTGGGTTAGATGCACCATTGGTCTGACCCACTCTGGCTGCTCTTATGTTAGGGCCAGCACTGCTGGTGCCACGCCCTATAATACGCAGCACCTGCGGCCGGCAGGGCCCATTGTGATCAGCGAGTGCGACCCCCCCCGCCCAGGCCCCGGAACAGTCCCCGAGCAGAGCTGTGGTTGCCCGTGTGGGGGACGTGTCCCTGGAGGTTTCATCATATGACACGAGCATTCAGAAAATTAAGCTTTAATTCTTGGTGCCTCGTGGAGGGCTGGCAGCCCTACACAGCCCATCGCCCTGGAATGGGGGAGATGCGTTTCCCCCCAAGGCAGGAAGGGGTTAATAGACTACCTGAAGGTCCCGTTAGCCCAACTGCCTAGGCACTGCCTCCGCCCCCAGACACGGCTGCCTTTGCCTCGCTGGCTTCAGGCTAGTGCTGGGCGAGCGCTGCAAGGGGAGCCGGGGGGACGCCGAGCTCCTCTACCCGCCCCCCGGGGACACAGGCTCAGGGTGGAGGCCAGGCCCTGCCCAGCCCAGCCCTTGCCCCTGGGAGCAGCCAGCTGGGGTAGCAAGGGGGGGGTCACTCCCAGGTGGCCCCTGTCCATGGGGGCCATGTGGGGTGGTGGCAGAGTGGGCCGCGGGGGGTGGGTGTGTCCGTGTGTCCGCCCGCCCCGCGGAGTCGCACCCCGGACGCCATGGGGTTCACCAACGCACAGCTGAACCCAGACCAGCGTCCCCGGCAGAGCCGCGCCGGCAGCCCCCGGGATCCTGCACTCGAGTCCGGCTCCGAGGCCAGGTCCCAGCAGGAGAGGGCAGCTGTTCGCGTCGGCCCCAGGACTGAGCTGCAGACGGGCCCAGCCCGGGCCCAGGGCGACCCACGGCAGGAGGCTGGAGCCCCGCAGGGCCCGTCTCCCAACAGTGGTGTCCTGCAGGGTCAGGGTCACCCAGAAGCCTCATCCTCATAGGCGATAGCGATCCCCCTCCGGCCCGGCACGGCCTTTGTCACGGGCGTCTGGCCCAGCTGCTGCTCCAAGCCCCGCCAACTGCGCGACTCCAGGAAGGAGGCTGGGAGCAAGGGAGGGAGCGGTTAGTGGGGACCGGGCACAGCCCTGTGGGGGAGCTCCTGGCTGTGCCAGCCCTGGCCTCTCCCAGCAGGGGGTGCTGCAGGAACAGGAGCACTGGAAGGGGCTGGGGGGATCCTGACTACTCCAGCCCCAGCAGGGGGCGCCGTGGGGAGTGGGAGGGGGCTGGGTGGGGTTCCGGCTACTCCAGCCCCAGTAGGGGGCGCTGTGGGGAATGGGAGGGGCTGGGTGGGGTTCCGGATACTCCAGCCCCAGCAGGGGGCGCTGGGGGGAGTGGGGGTGGCTGGGTGGGGTTCGGATACAGCAGCCCCAGCAGGGGGCGCTGTGGGCAGAGGTTTGGCATCACTCTATGGGGTGGAAGGGGTGGGCAGCGGAGACACGGGGAGGGTAAATAAAGCAAAGCACAAACCAGCCGGGCTGATCTGGGCCAGCGCGAGCTCCGGGTTCCGGCAGGCCAGGGCCGAGCTGGAGGCCGGGGCCGGGGAGCTGGAAAGCCCAGCTGCGCGCAGCTCCCCCGTGATCAGCGACACGTCGGGAACGTCCCCGGGGACTGTGTCTGGGAAGCCGACATGTGCGCAGCCGCCTGCCAGGGGGAGAGACGTCAGAGAGCAGCCTCCAGGGGGCGGCCAGCCCCAAATCCACCCTGCCAGGCTGGGGCCCACACCCACAGCTACCCACACCGGGGTCACCCTGCACCTGGAGCCTCCCGGGCTCCAGCTCACCCAGTGAGTCAGGTGGGAGCTGCAGCCAGATAACGTGTGAGAACTGGGAATGGCAGGGCTCCTGGCTACTCCAGCCCCGGCCTCCCCCAGCAGGGGGCGCTGTGGGGAGCCCCAGCCCCGGCCTCCCCCAGTAGGGGGCACTGTGGGGAACGGGACAGGAGGGCTGGCTGGGGGGAGCCCCAGCCCCGGCCTCTCCCAGCAGGGGGCGCTGTGGGGAGGGGGACAGGAGCACTGGCTGGGGGGAGACCCGGCCTCTCCCAGCAGGGGGCGCTGTGGGGAGCCCCAGTCCTGGCCTCCCCCAGCAGGGGGTGCTGTGGGGAGTGGGACAGGGGCACTGGCTGGGGGGAGCCCCAGCCTCTCCCAGCAGGGGGCGCTGTGGGGAGTGGGACGGGGCACTGGCTGGGGGGAACCCCAGCCCCGGCCTCCCCCAGCAGGGGGCACTTGAATAGCTCCCGGCGGCTCTGGCGCTACCCCCTGGCATGGCGCCGGCCTGGTACCTGGCAGCAGGTCTCTGAAGTCAGTGACGTAGAGGCTGCTCCACTCCCGGGCCGGGTTACAGGCCAGCTCCAGCTCGTAGGGTGTCACCACGGGCCGGTAGAAGTCCCTGGAGTCCAGCAGGGAGTTCTGGGGACAAGCCACCAGCACGAACACGTCCACCTCCAGGAAGTTGGCCAGCTTGGCGGGGCTCAGCTTGCCCATGGCCAGGGTGTAGCTGCGCTTGCCAGCCCGGCGCAGGGTGTCCCGCAAGTGCTCCAGGACGGAGAGGTAGCCGGCCACGCCCAGCGTGCCCACCAGGATGCCCACCACGCGGGCGTCCCGGGCCCGCTCCACCAGGTAGAGGCGCCGCAGCAGCGCCCGGTTGGCGTCGAGGCTCTCGTGCCGCCCGCAGCCCGTGGCCGGGTCGAAGGAGCTGAAGGGGCAGCGGTTCCAGCTCAGCATGAAGTTGGTGAGGGCCAGGCCCTCAGCGCCCACGTAGAACACGGCGTAGTCCTGCAGCCCGCGCCGCGCCGCCACGGCAACGAGGCGCCCAAACTGCCGCACCAGCCCCGGGCCCTGCGGGCAGTCGGGGGCCCCGTCACTCGCCAGGCGGGAGAAGACGACGTGGGGGTACTCCGGGCCCAGCAGCTGCTCCAGCTCACCTGGGGGAGGGATGACCGGTTGAGCAGGCCCCAGGCAGGCCAGCCCCATGCACAGAGCCCCCCGGGCCGGGGCAGGAGAGGACTGCCAGGCAGGGGCATCGGCAGGCCTCTGTATGGGGGACCCAGGCTGGGGCAGCAGGGGCTGGCGAAGCTCAGGGGATGGGACTGGCCAGCCCACCCGGTTTGGTTCCTGCTT